TTGTGTTTTGTTTATATTTTTAAGTGTATGAAGCCAAAAAAAAAAACAAAATAATAAACATTATCCAAAATGTGAGCAAGAAGCTCATGTTTCCCTTTAATGTATAATCAATTTTTAGATCTTGGTGTTGCTTGGTATCAACAGTTATTTTAAATTTTTGCTTTGAAATTAAACTGTTAAAAAAAATTAAACAAAAATTTTGATTTTAAAAATTTAAAAAGTCTCACCAACATAACTTATAAAAATGGAAAATTTTAAGAGTAAAAAAAAGTAGGCAGTTAAAATTTTAGAGGAAAAAGAAAAAACAAAAGCATGGTTGGCAAATATTTAACTTTTAAAACTTTAAAATTTTATATAGTTTTTACACCTAACACCAAACATTTTAATCTATATTTTATTATTATTTAGGCCATAATAGACCGGTCCAGCAACCCATAATCTCATATGAAAAAGGCTAGAATCAAAATACACAGATATGATGGTAGTAGATGTGTGACAACCACTGGCCTATTACTCCTCTCTATTAGTTTAGATTTTATTGAATAAATTTGGTTTACAAATTTAGATTTAGAAAACACCAAATTTTGATTAATAAAGAAACTAACTAACAGGTCCGCACTGTATGCGGACTACAACCACTTGGTAAATAAGATCATCGTCGAAGAGGAAAGCGATCTTCGTTTATAGATACTATGCTTCACGTGTATCATGTAGATCAAACAATCAATAAATATTTTTATAACTATGAAATATGTATATAGGTAAGCAAGCATAAACTTAATATCAAACACAAATTAAATTATAGTTGCACTTTAAAACAAAAAAGTTCATTATTTTTTTTCATATATATGTTTAGGTATGTTAATTTCAAGACTTAGGATGAGATATCACAGAAAATGACATGAAAATGTAATTTGGATATTAAAAAAATATTACTTAGTTATGAGGTAACTATGAAAACCAAAACTCAAAGCTGACCATGAGAGAAGACCAATCTTGGTCCTACAACCCCCTCCCTTTTCTAAGGCTTTTTCTTGGCTTTAAGTATTTTTTTTAATCACTCTAGCCTCAAGAACATAATTAACCAATTGAGTTAGTATCAATCGCGTGCTATTTTTTTTAAGTATTTTTTTCTTGTAGTTCAATGTTCTCAAAAAGCATAATTAAAGCACAAGTTTTAAAATCAATTTATGGTTAGGTTAGCCAAAAATCTTGACCCTAATAAAAAAAACTCTTGCGTGTAAACCATGTCATCTGCATAACTTATATCAAAAAATTTGACACTATCGGCTAGACCTGTCCATTTTGGAATGTGTAACCTGTCCTGGCTTAGATATGTCATGAATTTCCCATCTTATTTCCAATCCCATTAAAATAATTTTTTGTTTGAGACTATTTACTTAATTCATATGGATACGGGATTGTTGTATGTCCATCCCAAAGTTGATCCTTAGCCAAATTTTTGAGAGGTTGGAAAGTGATTTTAGTTCTCGAATTTCCTGAATCCATTTTGTTCCTTAAATTTTCCTTTCTGTTTTATATAGAAAATACTTCGGGTAATGTTTTCCAATACATCAATAACCTATTTGCGCTCATTCCCGTGATTTCTTAAAAAAAAATGCCTACTATCAGCATTTAAATTATTGTCACCTAATCAACTGAATCTTTTGAGTGGATTAGTTTAGTTTGCATCGGGCTGCAAGTGTAGAAAATTAGATTATTTTAAATTTTACGTATGTATAGGAAGAATAAGAAGTTTAGATTCTCTATAAAGTATATGTAATTTGCTCGTATGTATAACCATGTTACCTTTTCAGAAATTAATAAGAAAGACGTTTGAACAAAAGTAAGAATATAACTTATTATAATATTATACGATAAAGCTTCCACGTATTCTAGACGCTTAAAAGCATCAGTAATCTGATCGGTTTTATTTACGATTGTGGTTTCTTTGGAATTGCAGCAAGTCATGTTGTCCATATTAGGTGGGGATGAAGAAGATTTTTCAAAAATTGGGAGCTAAATTCGACAGCCATTGTGTGACAAATTAAAGTAAGTAATAATTTTATTTCATTTAGTTGTTTTTAATGTTTTGTTCATTAACCTACCATATAATTGTTCTTTGTTACAAAAAAAAAACCTACCATATAATTGTTCTATACTTTTTCTGGATATTCAAGTTTTGGTAGTTGATTCAAGTATAGCTTTTGTTCATTAACATGCCATAGAAATTTCTCTGTTTTATCTGGAATTATATGTTTAGGTTTTTAATCCAAATATAGATTTTTTTTCATGAACCTGTCATAGAAATGTTCTCTGCTTTCTCTAGGATATTCGAGTTTTGATTTTTGATCTAAGTAAACTTCTTGTTCATGAGCCCACCATTACCATCAAAAATTCCTCTGTTTTCTCATGATATTCGAGTTTTTTATTGATCCAAGTGTAGTTTTTTTCTTATGAGCCCACCATGGAAAGTTTTTATGCTTTGCTTTCCTCGGAGATTCGTATTTAGGTTTTTGATCCAAGTATTTGTTTTGTTCAAGAACCCATTGTCGAGAATTTCTCTACTTTTCTGTGAGATTTTATGATGATGCTGTTCTATTTGCCACCAATCTAAAAATTTCCAGGAAACATGATCGTCATTATATTCACCAGAGAATCCAAACTCAAGCATTGTTCTGCTCTTTTGAATAATTCATTGCTGTTAAATGAAAATTTCTCTACTCTCTAGAGCTTAGAATTTAGGTTTTCAATCCAAGTATAGGTGAGAATTTGCTCTATTTTCTTTAGAGATTAGAGTTTAGGTTTTCAATCCAAGTATAGGTTTAGTTCATGAACACATCTTTGAAAATTTGTTTATTTTCTCTGGGATGATTCGAAGGTAACGCTTTATGAGAGAGCAAACCAATATGTGAAATGCAATACACATGGAAGCGTCAACGAAGATATGAATGAGATATGTTCAAGGGAATACATTACTGACACGATCTGCAAAATTGTCAAAACGAAGCTCGAGCTTTGCTCCAGCGGTCCATAAAGTTCTAGCTACTTATCACGTGATAGCTTTCTATCACAATCGGCTTGTCTTTGTGACTTGGCTGTGCATGCATATCAAACCAAGTATTAACATATCTAATCTAACCCACTATCATGATACGTTATTTTTAAAGTTCAACGATGAAATGGAACATTAACCCGAATTTATGATAAAAAAAATTGTATGAGGATTCAAACCTAACTGATATGACTAACTTAACAGTGAATTTGACATGTCAGCAGAGCAGAACAAATGAGAGTTCGACACATGAGATTGCAAATTATTAACAAAGAGTAAGAAAGTTTTTCTGCAGCCAAAACTCATTACGGAACCAATCAACATATTAACAAATCACTATACAAATATATATATATATATATATATATATATATAAAAGTCAATTTTGCATTAGAAATCTTTTTAATAACAGTTTTGAGAGTATTTTTATTCCTAAATTATCAATGATGATATGGAATATTTTTTTTCAAAGAACTTATCATTTTTTAAAATCTTATAGCCTTTTCAATTACGATGTTCATCTTACAATTTTGAGATTATTTTCTATTATCAAAAACAGGAGTTTGAAAAATACAGTAATAGATTTTACTTCTTTTTTAATATTTTAACTTTTAGAATATAGAAATCAAAATTTTTTGTAAGAACTAAAAAGTAAATACACTAGATAACCCAAGTGCTGTTCATAATTTGCAAAATGGGAAAATGCACTTTTGCAGCACTGTACAATTTACAAGATGGCAACGTTACCCCTACGTCCCTATAATCTCTGCACGATATTATGTTAGAGATATTAATTTAATATTTTATAAAATTTCGAACACTTTTGCTGATTTTTCTTCCGGCGACTACTATTCTTCTTCTTCTTCCTCCACTTTCTCTTTTATAACTCTGTTTCCTAATCCTGATCTGAATCCAAACTCGGATCCTCCTGTTCTTGGATCTTCCCCAGCCGCAATTTTCACCTCCTCTGTTAGATTCAGATACAACCACCGCACCACCTCCGCCTACACCAGAAACAACAATCGCGCCGCCGCCTCCAGCAATAGTCGCCATTAAATCCGCCGAGCTAACGTATATATATAGTGTGTATCTATTTGAATTACTCTTATAATTTTATTGTTATACTACTAACAATACATATAGAGTGTTATCTGTTTTTGTAGCGCACTAACTACAAAAAATAACACCTATAATAATCTAGATAATTCATTATTGTTATCAATCTAACATATTTTTTACTTTGTTAATTATAATGTTAGACGTTAATTTTATATGTATTATGCTAAATATACCAATAACATCTTTGATTATCTATATAACTCATTATTGTTATCAATCTAACATATTTTGTACCTACTTAGTTACAATGTTAGACGTTAATTTATATGTATAAACTGATGTAAGCTTAGTGTTAGCAAGATAATAAAGTATGTACTATGATAACAAGTTATGTAGTTGTATAACTTATATGCTAACGGAAAAAAGATGATGAGAGAGAAACTTCATACAGGGAAGGAAGACTCGTAACAAAAGAATGAGGGGGTAAAGAGTAATAACACCTTCAAAGTGTCAGAACAATGTCCCACTAATTTACTGTTTTTCCCATTTAACAAATTTTGACCAGATTTTAAATTTTCTAGCAAATTCTCTCAAAACTAAAAGGTACAATACAATGTTGAAATAAACCTTTCTACTAAATCCTAACCATGATTCTCTTTTCAGTATAATGAACTAAAGGTGAAAAGCTGAATCTGAAGTGAAATTAAAATCGTTTAATCATTTTAAAGTTTATTATCATTCATCTTAATTGAAAAACATGAGAAAACATAAAAGCAAATAGAAACCCAACTAACATCATCCATAGTTAAAACACTCCAAACTGAAAAACATGAAACAAAACAAAGGAACTAAAACATAAAATCGAACACTCCTTAGTCTCCAGTCGTTACTCTCTTTGTTTAAGAGATTGGACGAAGGCTTTCTCAGCTGCTGCCAACTCCTCATCAAGTTGAAACTGCGCTTGTGTCCGATGATTCATCCTTCTCGTATCATTCGCCGGAAAACTAGATGAAGGGGCAGGATCCATCATCGTAGGAACTGGAAACTCCGAATCATGATGACCATAATTTACGCCCATATAAGGGAAATGGTTGTTACTAATAACATTATCACAATTGGTGTAGTGATTACCACTACTATTGATAACATCATTGTCGGTGGTGGTGACGCCATCACCAGTGGCGGCAGAGATGGCTGGCTCAGCATTTTTAAGGAGCCAGCCAACGGTTTCACCATCGGTCTTAAAGCCGAGTTTTTTTGTCAACTGGAAAAGTTGAGAAGCACAACTCACCGGAATGCGGATGCGACGGTCACGGCCTCCAACTTTCAGATGGCGGTCTTTCGATGACTTTGCCTTTTTCTGAGGACAACGATTGTTGTCGTTATTTTCATTTCTTGAATCCATTTTTTTCTTTCTGTTCTCTAGTTTGCTTTTGAAAGTGTAAGTAAAATAGTATTATCTCATTTGCTTTGTTTATATAGAAAATTTACAGTAGAAACAAAATACTATTTAACAACAGAAAAAGAAGAAGTTATATGTCTTAAACATTAATGTGTAATTAATACTCATAAATTTAGATATTAATAGAAAAAATAGAATTAACTATATATATAGGAAATATTCAAAGATAGGTCCACTTATATATATATATATATATAACAATTTTCACATATATATATATATATGGAAATAAATCGCACTAATTTCTATATAATTTTTTTAAAGAATTAATAAAATTAAGGTGAAATATAAGATTACAGTTGTACACATGTATATAATTATAAATACTATATATTGAAATATAAAATATTTTGTTATTTTTTTCTTGCTTTACAATTATTAGGAAATAATTCTAAGAAATATACACATAGTTTTATTAAATTATCAGAATATAGAAAAAACTTTCAAAAATACATGGAAAAAGTCATTGTTCTATTTGAATAAACAAACACATTTATCACTCGTTTTTGACAGACCTGACACGATTTCAACGGAGCCATCTAAGAGGAGTTAAGAAAATGCATGCTACATTTTATGTTTTGTTTCATACTTGTAATACATGGAAAAAGTCAATTTTCTATGATTCTATCTGAATAATTACAGCTACAGAGATAAAAACTCACGATGGTTAAAAAAAACTTAAAATATCAGTTTTCAAACTAGCTATGTTTCTTGAAATATTAATACTGATCACTATACATCACAGACTAACATAGAGATTAAACAAACCCTAGTTGAAAACTCCAAAGTGAAAAATGCGACAAAACAAAAAGTGCAAATGGTTAACGAACTAAAAACTGATTATCATGTTATGGTGCTTCCGGTTGCTATAATGACACGTTTTGCTCCGTCAGCTAGCTAGTATTTTTGCGAAAGATATAGTACTTAGTAGTCTTGTAATGCAAAGCTTCTATATAAACCAAAAAAAAAAAAAAAGACTTTTCCACTTACATTGCAAATATAGAGTAAAAATGGATTTGAGAACTGAAAAAAAAAACCCCCAACAAGCGTAGTCTTAATCAGCAAAAAACGAATTCAGACCACCATACAAAAATTAGTGCTATTTCACGGATGAAGTCTGCTTCAAAAATGACGGCATAACATCATCATCACGGTTGTCTCAATGGAAATGCCTATCCAGCCATATTCGCAGCCACAAACATAATCACCACCTAAGTGAAATAGCACGAATTTTTGTATAAAATTTCAAAAATCTTAATTGAAAATTGATTTGAAATAAGATAAGAGTATATGTACACATGTATAACAAAAAATACTAGTCGTATATAGTAAAATATCTAACTATTTGTGTTTTTTTTGTTTACTCACTTTACACTTATTAGGAAACAAATCTTTAAAAATATGTTTGTAATTTTATATAACTTATCCAAAGACGGCCTTTATATATATTTTTACATCCACATTTTAACGGAGCCATTTAAATCGAAATATTTCATTCCTTTTAACCACTTTACACATATTAGAAGAAAAACAAAATTAAAATACACCTGTAATTTCAGGAAACTTATCAAGAAATGACATTTATGTTTACTTTAACATCCACGTTTTTTGTCATTTAGTTTTCTTAATTCCATATATATATATATATATATATTTCTAGAACGAAAATTGAAAGCATATATTTCTATAAGAAAATTTCTAAAAACTAAATATTGTGAAACAAAATAAGAATACAACTGTACACATGTATATCAAGCAATACTACATATAGAAAAATATCTATCAATTTATCTTTTTATTATTCACTTTACAATTATTAGGATATTTAAAAAAATACAAAATCACTAAAAATACAATACCACTATTCACTAAAACAAAATCGCTATTTTTTTTAATTATAGGAAAAGAAAAAATATGTGGAAATTTTTTTTTTTCCTTTGTAGTTGTTTGGTTCACTTGAATACAAAGACATTTCTTATTAGCATTTCTTTTTGTATGCAATATATTGGAAAGCCCAAAAGGCAATTACAAGTGGTACATAATACAAACGAAACCCAATAACGATCTAAACTATACATTAAACAGGTGTAAAGAAACTTGTACACATAAAGCATAAAAAGACAAAACACGTGTCTAAAGATAGAAGTCTATGCCGTGCAAAACTGACAAAGACCGCTGGTAAATTTTCCGATCTTACCATTGCCATGAAGGCGTAAAACTGCAAAATCTAGCTCCAAACGCACCACTGTAACATCCACTGTCAGTAAAAAGCATATATTTTAATGCATTAAAAAAAATTATAATTGGAAATCAATTTAATGATTCTTATGTGGACGAATCGCGTGCTGGCATGTGGCATCTATGAAATTTTTGCAGGTATGGTTCTCCTGAGTCAATTTAAAAATCATATTGGACTTACGATCCGATACGAACTAAGCATATAGTAGTGAGGCTTGAATTCAAAGAATTCAGGAGATCCGACACGAAAGGCCATATGTTTCCGGATTCCTCGTATCTGACAGCGCAGTCTGCGCTTTCAGAAACAAGGAAGTTCAGAACTGAGTAGTCAAAATGAAGAGATTTTATATTCTTTATGTCCTAAGACCAAACTCAGTGATCTAGAAGGACGGGGATATAAGAAAGTGTAATCCGCACAGGTACCTGGAGAAAGGAGTCAGCCAGCGAGACAATCCTGACAGCCCGGTCCCAGTATCAAGGGATCTGGGCCAGGTATGAACAATCTATTAAGCGAGAAACACTGTTCAAATTTCCCTCCATTCGACAACTGGAATATGCCTTAGTCTGATTTGATTGCCCATACTCTTACAAACCCACGAGATTGGCATTTAATGACCTGTTCTTACATGTATCAGATGACAATGACCATTCGCGAAAGGCAGAGGAAAAGCAGAGGTTTAGTTAAAGGCTTAAAGTCATACCGCGTCTGAACCGTCGAATCCAACCCGTATGATGAGGATGAAAGAGACGTGCCAAAGAGCGGTCTCGCAGCAGGCAGAACACACAAAGAAAACTTGGTGAAACCGTCAGAGATGACGCAAGCAAAAGATTTGGATCCAACCAAGTCGGATAACGGACCGACCTGCCTAACCCGCAATCCAAGGACCAATCCGGTATACTAACCTGGATCAGGTAAAATTCTATAGATACTTTGTCTCTTCCAACGAGAAGGGGGTTCATTCTTTTTTTGTTAACTTAAAGCTCATGCTATCTTTCTAGATACTCATGATCCTTAAGCCATAGCACTTTATATTTCCTGTCATTATCCCAACCATCTCTTGACTTCCTCTCCACGGCAGTTCATAAACCATGGATCACTCTCACCTAAAAACTTTTATACCTCCTCTTTTTTCACCTCAAAAAGCTCATTACCACACAAAGGTCCGAGTAGATTTTACATTTCTTGGAAGCTCCTGACCCAACTTCCTTCTTTCGTTTTCTAATATCTTTCCTCTCTTTGATTTGTACTTTGTGGTCTTTCTTTTACTACCAAAATGTGATTTTCCGCATTCGATAGCAAGAATCATAATATAATTAATTTGATTTCTCTCACTTTTTAAGTTTGGTGCTGAAAATTGCTTTTTGGATTTTGAGTATCAGGATCTCTTCTATGGAAATATAAAAGATGTGGTTTTATCTCAAATTCGTTCTTACAATAGTTTTTAAGTTGACTATGGTCTTGTGGTTGTCACTCTTGAGAAAATTTTCCATTCAAATTTTTTTATCATACTATTTACTTTTACTTTAATAGATTTCTACCATCTTTATATTATATATATATATATATATATATATATATTCACAAGTTTACATAAATGTGGGGAACTTTGTTCCGATGCACCATCATTAAGCGTTGTTTTCCCTTAACAATAAATACGTCATACAATCCTGTGCATTAAAGCTTTTCATGATCGTAGATATCATCGGACTTTCTCTTATCTGTTGATATATGAATATCACACAAGGGACAAAACAGTAATTTAGATCGGAAACTCGGATTTTATTAGATCGGTCGAAAATACAACTGAGTTCGTTTATGTAAATGATAAATGAACTAAGACTTAGAAAACTTAAGAAGTTAATGACTGTCTTGAGTTCTCAGTCTCAAAGTCTCTTGGGAATATCTTGTGTCTTCTGGTGTCGATTCCTCTTCTTTTATATATGCCTCTTAAGTCGGTCTTCGCAAGTCTCCTCTACGATACGAGACCGAGAAGACTTTCCTTTTCTCTCGTCTGTTTCCTTTCTTTCTCGAAAGTTTCCTTTTTCTGTTTGGAAACTTTTCTTTTTCATCCGAACTCGGGAAGCTTCTCTGTTCCTTTGAGAAATTTCGACCGACTTGGGCTTATCGGGCCATGCTCGACCCATGAGTTCGTCCGGCCCAATTTTCCCGGTACAATTCATTTGTAAACCGGGTTTAATTCATCCGATTTCGGTTTGTACTGGAGAAAACCATAGATGCGGTTTTCACCTCCAACAGTTAGCCCCCCCCCCTCAGTTCGATGAAAGGGAGTTGCTTTTAGTCGAACTCATTCGAGTCGTAAAAATAAGGTCGCAAACCGAGCTCGGAAAATTCGGTCGATCCGTTTTCCCGGGTGTTTCATAACTCGAATTTAATGTGGCGCGTGAATTCTGGGATTTCACGGAAATCGAGGAACCACGATTCCCAATGTTTATTTATAAAGAAGTAAACCTACCTCGCATTCATTATTCTCGCCTCAGCATATATAAGGTACGCCGCTCTCCCTTCTCTCTAGTTTTGTTTTTTCTCTCTAGACTTTCGACCTCACAGATCTCGTTAGCTCTCTTTTACTCTCCGCCGTGCTCTTTGAATTTTCCGACTAATATTCAAATCTTTCCGACTCATCTTCAAGTTTTCCGATCCATCTTCAAGTTTTCCGATTCATCTTCAAGCTTTTTCCGATCAA